CAGGGCATCATTTTTGTTTTCATGTTTGAATGTCCAAAACTACAAACAGCTTTAGGGACAATTAAAATCTCAACAGGAGCATGGATTCTACCAGGAGACCCTGACCTTTGCAGCCAACACGTCACATGACGAGGCAGCTTCTCTGCTTCTCCTGTGAGGGCTGCCTCTTTGGATAGCTGGGATTTAGCATGACATTTTAGTCAAAGGAGCTGCTGAATAAAGACTTATTGACCAAAGTTTTTCACCAGCTAAGGTCAGAGAAGTCTTATTTCTTCTCTTTGCAAATAAAGATTCCAATCTTCTCATCCCGAGACAGGGGTAATGCAACTGTTTTGATTTTTACCCTAAAATGTTCCACGGTACACTGAGCTGTTTTCAAGGTAGACTTTTAGAAGAGGCAGATTTATTTTTAATCTTGACACAATTAGAATTTAACAAATTTTTTTTTCCATATTTCACTTTACACATTTATTTGTACTGAAACTGCATGACTAGAATAAAGCATCAAAAACAAAGCAGGCAAGCAACTCACAGAAACCCATCCCACTGTTACCTTACCATGCAACTATGCAAGTAGAGCCTAGGTTCTCTGAGATTTGAAATGCTGTGTACCTTAAGGCAGTGAAATCACTGATGTGCCTCTACCCCAACCCGCAATGTCCACATTTTAATTCTTGGAACCTAGAAGCATGTTATTTTAGGCAAAAGGGACTTTGCAGATGTGATTAAATTCAGGATCTGGAGATGGGGAGATTATTCTGGATTATCTGGGTGGGCTCAATGTAATCACAGGGTCCTTATGAGAAGCGGACAGAGGGTGAAACACTGCTGGTGATGTGACTATGGAAGCAGAGGGAGAGAAGAGACAGGACGATGCTACGTTGCTGGCTTTGGAGACAGAGGAAGGGGCCATGAGACAAGGAATACAGGTAGTCTCGAAAACTGGAAGTTGGGAAGTAGATTTTCCCCTAAAGCCTCCTGAAGGAACTGGCCGGGTGTTGCCCCAATAAAACTGATTTTGGGCCAGGCGCGGTGGCTCACGCCATTAATCACAGCACTTTGGGAAGCCGAGGCGGGTGGATCATGAGGTCCAGAGATTGAGACTGTCCTGGCCAACAGGGTAAAACCCTGTGTCTACTAAAAATAGAAAAATTAGCTGGGTGTGGTGGTTTGCGCCTGTAAGGTCAGTTACTCGGGAGGCTGAGGCAGGAGAATCGGTTGAACTGGGGAGGCAGAGGTTGCAGTGAGCCGAGATTACGCCACTGTACTCCAGCCTGGCGACAGAGTGAGACTCCATCTTAAAAACAAAAAACAAAACAAAAAATTGTTCTGTACTTCTGACCTCTGGAGCTTTAAGAGAATAGCTTTGCATTGTTTTAAGTCCTGAGTTTGTGGTACTTTGTTATAAAAGCAACACGAAACGAATACACTTGTTGACCATTTATTGCATCTCTTGTGTCTAGCACTGTGCTTGGTATACGACATGGACTCATAAAGCAATATCAATTTAATGAGTTGAAAACATAAGGGAAAGATGTCATGAGAATGGAATGTACCAAATTCATGGCAACTTTTTCTGATTTAAAAAGTTTTCTCTTTCTTAGGATTAAAGGAACATTCCTTTAAGGCTCAGAAAGGTATACCATTACCCAGATATCCATGGTAAGGCCCCAGTGGTTACACAGTTGTGGTTTAGCCCTTCAGGCCTAGCCAGCTCTTTCCTGGGAGCAAGTGAAGGAGACCACAGGCCACGATAAACAGCACTTAGAGGCCAATTGATTTCAGAATACCTGTTTAGTGTTTCTAGGGACTCAAAACTCCAGGGAGACAAGTAGGAAGGAGAGGCAGTGTCAAATAGTGTACAATACAATTAGCAAATACCAGTACCTTGAGGAATATTTGGCAGATAGTAGGCACTCAGGAAGTAAATGCTAGGATGAATGACAATCAGAGCTAGCATATAAGCGTGACCCCCCTCTCCTAATGCTTCCTGCAGTAGAAGTCAGTCTCCTCCCACTTCTACCTTCTCTGTCTCCTTGGATGTTCATTTTTACACGATTTTACTCATATCTGCTGAAGAAGAGCAAAGGGAAGAACCCTTCAACCTCAGACACAGACACATGTTATTTGTCAACAGGCCACACATATCCTGAACACAGGGACTGCGGACCATAGCAATGTACCTCACCTTTTCTGGGACCCTCTCCCTTGTTCAGTATTTGTAAGCCTTTTAATTTAAAGAAAAATAAATTAAGCCATGCCGGCTAATTAAAGAATAATTCCCCCAAAGAATTTAACACTTAGTGATTCTATTAGTGATGTACAGTACTTCTCACTTTGTATTCTTTTAGATGTATTATAGAGGTAAAAATCAGTATTTTCTACTAACTAGAGAAATGTAGATGATCTATTTTGGAGATACAGGTTCAGAAAAATAAATTAATGATAAAGACTGGAATAACTCTGGTTCCCGCAAATCAACATTTGATTGGCCTTCAGAATCAGAATTTAGGAAGAGAGAAGTTTAGGGGATCATGAAGTCCTGCTTCCTCGCTTCGCAGATAAGAAAACCAGGCCTCACTGGAATTTCCTCAGGTCACACAGCCAGAAAACTGCAGGCTCAAATGTAGGGCCTTGTGAGTCCCCAGTGTAACATGCATATGTGTCTGCCTTGTTTCATTACATAACGGCACAGCGAGCTTGGAGGTACACAAAAACAGACCACCACCGATCTTGCCTTCAAGGCGTTTACAATCTAGCAGGGGAGATAACACACAGGTCTATTAAAAAACGACTAGACAGAGTAAAGAGCAGTATGCTCTACAAGACAGGTATGGATTAAAAAGGAATCTTCAAGTCACTAACACTTGAGATTCTTTTTTTCATTTTTAAAAACAACAGCAATCAAACTTGTGAAATAGTGAACTTCCTCCATTTAGCAAGATTCCTCGAAAACAAGTACTTGGAATATAACTTGGTTAAGGATTGCACAACACACACTATTTGAGTATCTGATTTGGAAAATGAAGCCACAGAGCCAGACCACACAATGCACACTGGTGGGAATCTGCTGGGCAGGTATCTCCCCGTCTGTCCAGGCAAGCCAAATCAAATAAGGCACTGAGTTAAAAAGGAAGGAAAAAGTAAAGGATAAATCTGTTGACCACCACTCCAGGAGGCCAAGGTCTCTTTCCTCCCCATTAGTGGTGGCTTGCTCTAAAATAAAAATGCCACGCTCAGGCTGTGACAGAGGAAAGCCCTTGGTTTGGGACCCAACTACAAAGTAATAGCAAAAAGAGATTATTACTCCTTAGTGACTCTCTTCTTGGTATAATTAGAAGAGTAGAAAGACCATTGAATAGTGGGATTTGTGAGAAATATGGATCATGTGTCTGCAGCACCAGTTGCTTGCAGAATTGGCTATGTGGGTTGGCACACAGCACTGTGAATATTAGAAACCACAAATCTCCAGGGTTTCTTGAACAAAGTAAAAGGCCTTGTCTTCGGATTGCCACGATGGAGGCTGGCTTGTGAAAGAAGTCCCTGGGTGAGCTCCGAAGTTACCTATGCATTTCCTACTTCTCCAACTCTTTCTTCTCTTCCTCCTCTCCCCCTCCCTCTCCTCTCGTTTTGGATATCGCATCTTGGTGGGTCTAACTGTCGCTTTGCTTCTGCCAATACCCCCCTGGGGAAGCAGGCCCCCTCCATGACAACATTCCGCTGACGTGGAATCCACAGAGCTCGGGACAATGGGACAAACCATATTTCTATGAAAGAAACCGAGGTAAGTGGATTTTTTTGCCCCTGGAGGACTGGAGGAGTTACTCCCCAGTCAGATTATGCTGCATTTGAGGGCCCAGAAAAGGAATGAACTTCCCTGTATAGACAACAGCCAATTCCTGAAATAAAAACACAGTACTTCCCTGTGTTCACCTGTCCAATTGGTGACTCTTCTGCAGAATTACTACCTTGGGTTGTAAGTAAGCTAAGTAGATGTCTTTTAGAAGGCATACTTTAAGAAAAAAAAAAAGGAAAAGATGAAATGAGTTTATAAAATCCTAAGGATTAACTATACCTTGGACACAGATAAATAGCCACGTTTTTATACTGCACTTCCCTTTATCTGCGCCTGAGATGCTCTCTCGGTTCCTCCTGCACTGCTTTTCAGGCTCTGAAATATTTCTTAGCCAACACTTCATCCAGGGTGACTTCCAGGACCCCCAGTGGGGGGTGGGGTTTCCTATGTTGTCTCTTTTCTTGGCATCTCTATCCAAAGTATTTAGAGGGTGCATTCATGTCCTTTCTCTCTGTCTACCCCTGCCTCCTCCAAAAAAAGCAAAAGGGGGAGGTGGCAAGTGGGAGGAGATTATATTTTTTCTTTCTTTTTTTTTTTTCTTGGAGAAGGAGTCTCACTCTGTCGCTCAGGCTGGAGTGCAGTGTGATGATCTTGGCTACTGTCAACCTCCGCCTCCTGGGTTCAAGTGATTCTCCTGCCTCGGCATCCCAAGTAGCTGGGATGACAGACGTGCACCATCACACCCAGCTAATTTTTGTAGAAATGGGGTTTCACCATGTTGGCCAGGCTGGTTTCAAACTCCTGACCTCAGGTGATCTGCCCATCTTGGCCTCTGAAAGTGCTGGGATTACAGGCATGAGCCACCATGCCCGGCCCATTTTTTCTTTCTTTTTTTTTTGAGACAGAGTTTCACTCATGTTACCCAGGCTGGAGTGCAATGGCGCGATCTTGGCTCACCGCAACCTCCGCCTCCTGGGTTCAGGCAATTCTCCTGCCTCAGCCTCCTGAGTAGCTGGGATTACAGGCACGCGCCACCATGCCCAGCTAATTTTTTGTATTTTTAGTAGAGACGGGGTTTCACCATGTTGACCAGGATGGTCTCGATCTCTTGACCTCGTGATCCACCCGCCTCGGCCTCCCAAAGTGCTGGGATCACAGGCTTGAGCCACCGCGCCCGGCCCCCATTTTTTCTTTCTTATCCTTCGTGCTTTCCTTATAGTAGGAGGTCAGTGAGATCAAGGGGATTCCAGAATGAATAAATAAAATCTGCATTTCTTAGGAATCTGACGGACAAGAGAATCCAGAATCTGTGCATTGGGCAGAGGAGAGGACCAAATACTTCATGTCTGGTTTCCCCACAGGCCACACCAATGGGGCAAAGCCCTTCTGTATGTATTTCTATTTTCACATGTATCTGCACAACCATATGTTTAGAAATCAGAGGGTTGCTGTTTGTAAAACTCTTGAAAAACCTTCTTTTAAAGTGTAAAAATTATTTTATAAATGCCGACTCAATCTACTTTATCTCAGTGAGCTGCTATTAAGTGCAAAGAAGTTAACACAATACAGGGGCTTAAAGAGTTTTGACCACAAAGGCTAAACAGGGTCCATTTTCCCATGTGAAGAAAAATGTTTCTGTTTCAATTGTGATGTTTGGAATTTCAGCTTAAAGTAAAAAAAAAGGCACTGTTTCTAGAGTGCCTTTCCGAAAGGCACTGTAGAAGTGGCTGATGGTCCTTGTGGAATCAGCTGGCCAAGTGTTTCCTCCCTCCTACCCAGAAATGTCATTTGAGTATATTGACCCAACCCTGACAGAAAGTCTATGTAAGCCCGAGGAGGAGGAACATGCCACAAACCTGCGGCAGAGCATTAACAAGAACAGAATTAAAATGGATCACTTCTGGGACTCATCACACAACTTGGAAACAGTGTTCAATAAAAGGAAAGATAATTTGGGGCCACACTACCTGGAATGAACATCTGACATGCAGTCACTGGTCTGGATTTAGAAAACGGCTTTGATCCCCGGAGGGTGGATTCTTAATGAGTATTTTAAAGGACAAGATTGAGGAAGCATGATAGAGTTGAAAAGGGTACTAGTTTTGAAGGGTCCCAGCCTTGCTTCCACTTCTGTAAGCAGGTGGAACTGACTTTCAACAACACACCTTACACCGCCCTGAGAAAATATCCTCATCTCTAACATGGGAGGTGAAGTTAACCCTCTGGTCCATCCAGCACTCAAATCTAGGCCTTCGTGACTATGAAAACATGGAAAAAATTTTAAAACGAGAGCAAGTAATGCCTTTTTGCTACCTGACAGGAAGGCCAGGCAACCTTATTATAAAAGGGAACTTTTCTTGCTCGTATGTTACCAATCAATGCATAATTGACATAGCAATGCGTACACTTTATGTAGTTCAAGAGATCATTATTGACTGCCTGGATCTGATATGCTCATCCTTGTCACATCCTTCTCACTAAATACTAATTACCCAAAGTGATCAAACCCCAAATGTAAAAACAATCATCTTATAAATCACAGACAACAAGGAGCTGAAAAAAAGAACTTAGTCAAACGTTTTTGAGTTCATACAAAAATTGAACAGCATAATCCACCTCCAGGTTCCCATCCCCCAGCTAAAACAATATTTCACCACTCTGCCTTTATTTATTCCCAGTCCTCCCCAATGTAGTTATTTTCTGGAGCATTTTAAAATAAATCTCAGATATCTTGTCATTTCATCCCTAACTACTTCGGTCTTCATCTCAACTGATAAGGATTTTTTAAAAAACTACTACCACGACAGTATTACACCTGACAGCATTAAAAAGTTATTTACTATCATGTAAAAAACCAATCCTTATTCAAATTTCATCAATCATCTAAAATGGTTTTTTTTTTCTTTCAGTTTTTGGCTTGAATAGGCATCTAAACAAGCTAAGAGGTGAAACTGGGATTTCACCCAATTCACAATCCTTTGTCTTTTAAATATTTCTTTTTGATGCTAACATTACTTAGACACAATGTATTTGGAACACAGATAATGTGAAGGTCAGCTTCATTGCTGTATTATTTGAAATGCCTTATTCTGGGAATCAGATACAAATGTAGTTAAAGGCTCAGAACTGGAAAAATCTCCAGTAATTCTCACAGTTTTCTCAAATGCATAAATGATTCAGGCAACCTTAATGGAATGCTTTAAAGGTATTTTGCTAAATCTTACACCGTTCCTAGGTGTAAGAATACTTCTGACACACTCTAGCAGCTTTTATTTTGCCCATATAAAAGCTGGATCTCTTAGACTGTGGAGCAGCCTAATAGCATAGGTAGCATTTTCAGCTGTAGCTTCACCTGCACCTTAAAAAGAAATCTACCTGAATATGGCGGCAACAAGGCAGGCCATCTTTGAAAACAGAGCTAAGAGCCTCAAACTGTCAACTCTGACTTTTGGGGAAAAGGGAGGTGAACAGTTTCTCCATTCAGCCTCCGTGAGGCCTCTCTGGAAACACACAGGCACTGCTGTGACTCATAGCTACAAATACTGTTTTATAACACCAGTCTGTGTTTTGTAACACACACTGAAAGAAAAAAAAAAAAAAACTATTTAGAAACCAAAACCAAGCCCTGCATCTGGGCATTGGTATCAAGATCTCAAGATGTCAGAGTGGCTATTTAATCCAGATAAAGTAGGCAAGGCCTTATCCCTTTCCTTGGCAAGAAATTAGAGTCTTCCTGCCTGCTGCACATGCCCACAGGAGGAGCAACCATGAATTTAATTTTCTTAAAACAGAAGCATTTTCAGACTTGTGTTTTCCTGGACAGCTGCCTAGTGGCTGTAATCCATAATAAGGGCGTGTAATTGACAGTAATGTGAATCACTCACTGAAATTCTGGCAAAAAAAAAAAAAAAGAGGGAGGGTTATTTTTTTTTTTTTTCAGGAAAAAATGAAAGAGCAGATTCATCCTGTCCATTGAAAATAGCAATTACTTTACATTTTAGCTCATTAGCTACCTTTATATATTAAAAAAAAATCACTGTAATTTGCACAAACTATCAGCAAGTGTTGTAAAGAAGCGGTGCAGTTGCACAAGGCATGTGATCGGATGGGCTGGGCCAGGGCAATCTGTAAAATGGCAAATTTAGATGGGCTACTCAATATAGCATACATGGGATTCCTGGCCCAAGAGTGAGTTACAGGACACTGTTCTACCAGTCATTTTGCCACTTGAAAAGCTGCTATCTGCCTGGGACCTTGTAATTATTATGGTAATACCCAGGGCAGATTGATCAAGCTGCCATTGATGTCTATGGGCAGCTTCAGAATTCCTTTCACTCAGACACAGGGATCTCCAAAAGAATGGCTTGGGATTTTCCCAGGTAGAAGCTGTTGGAACCATGGAAGCTTTGAGACCAGGTAAAGGGTTTCTCTCATCTATTAATTCTCTTTGAATAAGGGAAAGAATAATCTGAATTAACTGCACTATCAACCTGAAAGGGCCCCCTCTTTTCCAAGGCAGAGGCACGGAAACTAAATGCTGGAAAGCTATGGAAGATTTAATTCCATTTAGATAAACCCTGACTCCATCTGAACCTGAGAGGTTCAGATATTTGTCTGAAACTTCAGCACCTGTGAAACTAGAAGCTCTTGTCTAGAACTGTCTGGTATCTCAAGCTTCTGGTCCCAGAGGGAACAGGGGTATTTGGAACTGTGAAAATCCCACGAGTGCATGAAGAAAACTTTGGGATTTTAGAATGCTGAGGTCTGTGTTGGGGAGATGTATATTGAACCTAGGTGGAAAGAGTGGAAACATTTAACCTCTTTCCCTCAGCTGACCACACTCTATGAAGGTGGTTTGGATTTATTGTCTCCTATTGGGATCTCCCATTCTTAGAAGTAAAATGAAAGTCAAATTTCACTAAATCAGAGGTAATGTTGGGATTCTGATGAATGAAACTAAAATTCATTTTGTACTTTATCATTAATTATTTCCGAGAAGCTTTTTCTCATATGACAACAGTTGGGGGATGGTATTATTAGCTTAAGATAGTTCCCATCTTTGACAGGTGCCACTAATCTCCTACTTAATTCTGGCTTCATTTGCAAGTAGTTGCTAACAGGCAAAATGAGGGTGCAGTCTTATAAACCACTAACAAGAGAGACTTACTATGCAAATAAAAAGGCTCTGCAAAAATATTTAAGATATTGTATCTCAATTATTAGACAGTAGCAAACTGTCAAAATCTAAAAACTACCATGGAATATGTATAACCAGTTCTTTGCAGGCATTCTCTTTGTTCCTGTGTGAATACATTTTATGTTAGCCCAAATGGTTGGAAATGTGTTATTCATTTTTATAATTGAGAAAAATGTGTTAACGCTTTGGAATGTCCATGTGTGGAAAAATAAAACATTATATGGAATTGCACACACACATAATTTATAATGCACACTTCCAGGACCAGACCTAATGAAGAACCTTCTATTCAACAGAAAAAAAAATTTTTTTCTTCAGTATTTGCAATTCTGGTATACCGTAATGCTGAGGCCAAGCATGTATTAGTTTAAATCCTAGCTAAGCAATAAAATGTGTGTCATTTTAAATAAAAGAGAACATGTTTTTCACAAAAGTTAAATTTCTTGTCCATTTGTGTCCCCCTGTAGTGGATGCTGTGGTGTGCTGCACAGGTCCCTCCCTTTAGGATGGAGGTCCTCATTCCCCATGGGGCCCAGAGGATTGACCGCCAGTGGCTCACAGCTGAACTGCTTCCTGAGATTTGTCCTTAGGTAAAGTGAAGCTGCCTTGCCCAAGGCTGTGCCCTTCCCTAGGTGTAGCCCACAGCCAGTGGCTGCTTGATGCAGAGTAAAAGGGTTTTCTACCTGGGAAAATCTCCTTGCTTCAATCTGGGACATCACCAAAGGGCCACCCATGCTCTGATCTCCCTGTGGCATCTGCTGACGCCTACATTGCAACTTCACAGCACTTCCAGGCTTCCCCTGCCCGGTCCAGCTTCCCTCACTCCTTATAGGCAGTGTCCCTATAAGCACGCTCCGACAAACTGTCTGTATGCCAATTTCAGAATCTGAGCATCTATTCTCTGGGGAATTCAATCTAAGATACCTTCATTTATTGAAGGATACTTTAGTGGAGTGATTAGCTGGGCAAAATGATGAATTTTAGCTCAGAATATGGTAGAACTTCACTTTCTTCAACGTGAGATAGACCCAGCTTAGCTTTTAACTCAAGAGGGTTGGTTCTAGAAGTTTTTCCAAGTTCAGCATTGCAAGGTGAGCTTAATTAATGGTAATGGCACAATTTAAGGTTTTTTTCTTTTTTCTTTTCTTTTTTTTTTTTTT